GAGAGAGAGAGAGAGCTCTCTCTCTCTCTCTCTCTCTCTAGAGAGAAACACAAGACCGCGCTGGTTTACCACAAAGGACAAATCGATTATGAAAGCTTTTTAATTAGTTCCAAATCTAAATCCTTAATTCAGTGTTTTCAATTTGTTCTAAATCTAAATCGAAAAAATCGAAATTGTTGATCAAGTTTTTAAAGTTCTAAACCACGATTTTGAGCCACCCCCCCCCCCGCTCGACGACGTCACTATGACGTCACACTTGCCTCGTCGTGTCGCTCTCCTCGTCGTCATCCTTCATGGCGGCATTGTCGAACACGTTCGCGTCGACCGTCTGCATCCACATCGGGTTTGACCTGCGCACACACGCAACACAGGCGTGAGGATGAAAACAAGGTAGGAGCATCTTAGGGCAGCTCGCCTGTATCTATTGGGGAGAGTCCGGTATAGATTCCCCCCATCGTCCCGAACAAAATATATTCTTAGCTCTCTCTCGTACGTTGTCGCAGGATTTTTTTGCGTGATGTCGCAAGGGAATCAATTATGTTAATTATGTTAATTATGTTAAGTCTGTCAATTATGTTATTATGTTTGTCTGTCGACGGTCTAACACAAAAAATGAATGTTAGGACTGCTGTCGTTTGGGTCGACCGTCTGCATCCACATTGGGTTCGACCTACAAGGGAGAAGCCTACAGCGGCTCCTCTATTGGGGAAATCATAGTCGGATCTAGGGACCCCGTCGTCAGAAACGTCCGAATTAGTCTTAGCATGGGTCTTAGCATTAACTTTTTCTCGTAAAATCATTGCAGAATTTTGTTTCGTAGAGTCATGAGGGAAGTCGATCTAAAGTTCCGAAACAAAACTACTACGCCCTATTAACGTCGTTTCATTCAATGTTTTTCCGTTAAAACATCGTTAAGAAAAACTACCACTGTCACTGAGGTGTTGGCTCAGTAGTAGAACCTATTTATGTACCAAGTAAAATAATTTAAATAATAAGTTTAATAATTAAATAACTTAATAATGAATTATGTTTGCTTCATGACACGTTCACGATAACACATATTGGTATTCCTATACATACCCTTCGTAAGCGTACTGGTTGGTGTTAGGCACAGTGATCTTGTTCATTTCCGACTCTCTGGAACCTGGAGAAAAATTCACAAAAACAAAATGTCGGTTAGCGACTGTAACGTGAGATGGTGCTTCATATTAACCACGTGCACATTACGCGCGGCGGCCATCTTGGTCGCTTGTAAGAGCAGACACGGCTGTTGACCACAATGCAATAATTCCCTTTTTGCAGCTTTCGATTGTTCGACGCACGAAATTGATGCAGAAGGCAGACACAGTTTGTATTACCAGGGGCGTGTACAGAATTTTTACCAGGGGGGGTCTAACCGTAACCCCAACTTGCGAGCACGCGAAGGGGGGTCTGGCGGGCCCTCCCCCAAAAAATTTTGAAATTAGACAACCTTAGATGCGTTTTCTGCGCGAGCAAGGGGGGGGGTCCGGACCCCCTGGACCACCCCTGTACACGCCCCTGGTAAGAGGAGACCTGGCTGTTGACCACAATGCAATAATTCCCTTTTTGCAGCTTTCGATTGTTCGACGCACGAAATTGATACAGAAGGCAGACCATGCAGTTTGTATTACGCTGGGTATTACAGAGCAAGAGAGCACGCAGTCGGTACAATCTATGATAGCTTCGACTATATCATCATTCTGTAGAGTACCGGGTGCAGACGACAGCAACAACGACAACAATCACAATACCAACAGTAACCAGACCACCACTACCACCAACAACAACAGCCACAGTATCATCCTGATAGGACCGTCTGCACCCACAACAATATATCAACCGAAAAACCTCTGCCAGCCCTGTCTATGTGTATGCTCAATTCGAATCAAGAAATGTTCATTACTGAGACTGATAGGGTCTATGTCTCTCTGGGTACTGCCGGAACGTACCCTGGTAACTATCTGATATATGGTTAGAGTTAGGGTTAGTGTTAGGGTTATGGTTAGGGAGTAGGCGTAGGCGACTCCCTAGACTCGTTAGTGGAGTAGGCGAGGTACGGTCCGGCAGTACCCAGGGAGACATAGACCCTGGCAGCGGAAGTAATAGGTTAACTCTCTGACAACCTGTCGACCCAACCCTTCTCCACCACGCTAAATAGTTAATCAGCATCGACATAAGGTACTTTATAAACCGATTATCGAGAAGTTGGTCAAGGTCTAATTAATTTATTGTTTTATTTTATTAACAAGAAGATGGCCCTAACCCTAACCTGCGGGGTCACGCGTTGGTTGACCTTCGCATTCGACATTTGCACGACTATCATTCACGTAGGCCTGCGCCACATAACTACACAACTATGCAAACATCTAATGTCATAACATTCGTAATCACCATCTGCGAGTCGGCAACTCTTACACGCACACAAAATTACAAGCGATCGAAAATATATATGCCGTTATATAGTGCGCACGGGTCTTCGATATATCCCCTCATTATATTATTTATGAAATTATGAGGGGGTATATGTACTATATCACAGTAAACCAGCGTCTTTACAAACAAAAACGTAGGTGTCACTAGAGGAATTGTAAATTACTTTACATTGAACAATTATATCTCACCTCATCAACCGACGATGAGAAGGACTTTTAAGGGAATTAGTTATGACGCGTCCTAGCTAATGCCGGGACGACAAAAAAATGAGGGGAAAAAACAAGTAAAACATAACGACACACCGTGCACATGCAAGCGTGCAGCTTACAGTTACCTGCCAGCTTTGCATAGAAGTCACTGCCCCCTGGTGAGCAAAAGATGAAAGAAGCAGTGCGGTTTAGATGCAATAGTTGTCACCTACTACTCTTCGGAAAAAGATTACCGCGTGGACGTGGCCACACGATGGCGTTAAAACTCCCACCCCACCCACACCATCGAGATGGCTACTAGGCTCATTATTTCCTTACTCATAGACCTTTATATATCTGCAATGGTGTGGGACCTTCGTGCCCCTATAGCTTCCTTTCTAACGTCGGCTGCAAAAGCTGCAAGTGTTAACATTTCATGCGGCAGAGAAAAATGCTACGAGAAAACATATTAGTGATAGTGCCCTCCCGCGACTACTTCGCTAGACGGCCCCCAGATGTCGCCACGTGTTAGAGACCAGATACTGCGACCGTCACCGTCTAGTTCCAGCGACACAGGCTGCGCGTGATTGGTCATCGGGGCCCGCGGGCCAATAGCCATACAGAACCCTGGCATCATGTCAGGCGACCGTACAGACTGGGGAAATGGGGTAAAGACAAATAACGTGGTGCAGGTGTGTGCAGAGAGGTATATGGCTAAGAACAAACACAAGGGGTAGCTGTGTGTAGCAACGTGGTAAAGGACAAAACAATGTGGTACGACGTGGCGTACCCGCGTAAAGGAGAAAATGGTAAAGACAAACCACATATGGTGTGGCTGTTGGGAGAGGGTGGGGGAAGGTAAATCATTGGGTTATCACGTGCGGGTAGAGTGAAAACACGTGATGCACGTGGGAGACGAGATTGGGTAAAGGCAAAACACGTGACGTGGGTGTGCTTCAATGGTCACCATGATGGTGGTGACCGTGGTGGCAGTGGTGACGGATGATTATGGCAGTAGGCGGGCGGGCAGTGGCACACATGGGTTCAAGGCAGACGTTCACAACAGTGCCTGCGTGCGGTCGACGCTCTCTCGAGCGTCTGCCCCCGACTTCGGCCGCCATCCACGTGACCAATCATGCGGCAGCACCCGCGCGCCAATCTTACCCAATCAGAACACAGCACTTACTTAGCGTAACTGAAAAGAGAAGCACAAAGCAATCACTGAGCCGCTCGACAGAAACGCCACCTAGGACGCTTTTTTAGTCTATGTGCGGGCCGTGTTCTGGCAAGTTAACCCCCCAAGCTCCATTTTCCTCTCCCACCCACTCTCACCCTCTCCCACCCTCTCCCACCCATTGCAACTATCTCTTGCTCACACGGCTGCAACCCACTCCCGCCCTTTTTTGTGTGAGCAGACGGCAACGCTGTCGGCCATGACACTTGCACAGACATGACAGATGCGGCCAGACTACACGAGTAGTACTAGTGACTCTACCAGTACAAGCACATGTGGCATCTATATCTAAACAGTATAGGGGGCACACGCTACCCATGCACGTGCATGATTCAAATTTGATCATCATTAACATTTGTTAATGTTAATAACGTTAATGTTCTTCATGTTGAATACCACGTACGTTGATCGCTCATCTAATTATTACGATTAATAATATTCGCACGATTACCACAACAATAAGTGCATTCAATGATAAGAGATATTCACCGGCAGAATCACTGATGATCTATAATTCATTTCGAAATCAATCATGGGAGTTTCAAAATCGAGAAAAGAAAGAAAACCACTGCTCACCAGTGAAATAGTTGGCAATTGGTGGCGGAACAGAATAGGGACATTTGCGATTGAACCATACGCGTGCACGAGCGAGCGTTCCTCCCCTCAGACGCACACATATAGATGGTGACAGAAGGGTGAAGACGTACGTGGGGGAGAGCGAAACACGACGAAATACTAGCGAAAAACACGGAGAAAATAAAATCGGGTGCAAAACTTACTAATCGCCTCTTCACCTGAAAGCGTCGGAAGCAGAGAGGTGTCAGAAAATGTCAGATCTAGGCAACTTCACGCTTTCGCGTATCAGTATAACATGCACTAGCCAATTTGATTACTTTGGCAATAACAGGTGATCATAGGTGAATAACGGGTGATCATAGGTGAATAACAGGTGGTAATAAGTGAATGACAGGTGGTAACAATAGAATGACAGGTGATCATAAATGAATGACAGGCGCTAATAAGTGAATTACAGGTAAAAAATAAGTTAACAATAGGTGATAGTAGGGGGAGTGCTAGGTGACAGTAGATAAACAGATGCATCGTGAAAATAACGTGTGCATCTGTGAGCTCGTATAACATTTCATCGCGTGCGAATTAGGCATGAGGGAAGAGATATAGAGACAGGAAAGATAAACGAGGGAGCAGGGGTAGGAGGTAGAAACCAGAACAGCGAGAGAACAAGGAAAAAAGAAGAGAATTAAGGAAGATGAAGGAAGATGAAAAGGAAAAAGGAGAATAAAATAGACAAGGGGAATACCAGAGCAGCGAGAGAAAGAGAACAACACGAGGAGAGGAAAGATGCAAAAGAGGATAAAACGGACAAGGGAGGAAATTAAAACCAGAACAGGGCGAGCAAGGGGGACAAAAAAGGAGAGGGAAGATGAAGAGCCTAAAGAGAATGGGGTGGGTAAAAGGAAAAACGTAGGTATGCTAAGAGAGTATAGGGCGCGTATGTAGGGTGCATGCTTGACAAGTCGTTTGCAATATCAAATAACACGAGTCGCATGCCAAAATGCTAAAATGATGTAAAACGACCTAGAATACATACCGAATGCCACTGCCTTTGCCGCCCTCAGTTTCCTCTTGTACCTGGGAATGCAGAGACATCACGCATGACTGAGGCGTATAAACAGGGCTTCCAAAAACTGCGTTATTGTAGTATTTTAAACCAGTGACAGGAACACAATTAGCCTTAAAATGAGTCCTAACTTTGTTTCTCGTAGAATGTTGACTGTCGACTGTTTCGTAGAGGAATCACGAGGAAATCAATTACGCAGACATTTTTCATTCTCGTAACTTCCCGTTGTGTCTGTTGGTGGTCCAAGAGAAAAGTTTGTGTCAAGACCGATGTTAAGACTAATTCTGTTTCTGACAAAGGCACTTCAGAGTAATTTACTTTCACATTTCCGCACCTCAGCACCGCGATCGGTCGTCACGGCGACGATTTCGCACCCGAAACAGCGCCACGCGCGCAAGGCACCACCGGAGACGTGGGGCGCATGTCCACAGCGCCCTCTAGCGGCGGCGACCGTTAGCACTTACTTTTGCGACTCGTAATACCACAGGCAGACTAGAACGACGATGCAGAGGCCGAGGATGACCGCGGTTATCACCAGCGCCATCAAGTAGGCGTCTTCGGGATTTCCCGGAGCCTCCGTCACCGCGGGCGTTCGCCCCTGCGTGCGACAGAACACAAGAACGTGCAGAAAGAGACCGGTGCAGTGAGATTAGTGCAGCGGACAGATACGTGCAGCGAGATAGAGGTGAACTGATAAAGTCAGTGTGATCGTCACCGCGTGCTGTGCGGGGAAAAAACAGAGAGAAGATTAGTGTTGTGAGCCGGTGAGGAAAAACGAGAAATCGCATACAGAGGGATCCTCGAGTTACGAACGCATCTATATATGCTGTCCATGTTTGATAATGCTCTATTGTTTATTTTTAATAGATATTGATGGGGCCAGGGGCGGGATCCAGAGGGTTTGAGCGTGACCTAGTTTCGGCATCATGCGTTCTTCTGCAGGCTAGGCGGTGTCGGCGGGTGGCATTGCCCCTCCCCCCCCGGGGAGTTTTATTTAAAAATTGAGGCTATATTTGGTGCATTCTGGTGAATTTTGAGGCCTGTGACCGGTTTCTGGAAACTGGTGCAAACCGGCCTAAATCCGCGCCTGGGGGCCTTGTGAGTCGTAACGCACACAAACCGCTCCAAACGTGCACAACATGCTGCAAAATTGATGACTTTGAAAAGAAATTTTTTAAAACCAATCGTGTTCGCAACTCGGGGAATTCCCTGCATGGCAATAAAAGCACAATAGAGAAAACTACACTGCGTGAGAACTACACTACCACAGGAGTCGTGAGAGTCGTGAGGACACGTGAAGCCACGTGAGAACACGTGAGAACACGTGAAGACACGCGAAAACACGCGAGGACACGCGAAAACACGTGCCAACACGTGAAGACACTTCTTCCCCCACGCGTTCTCGACTAAAAGAGAATAAAGCGGCGGCGATACGCAGTGCCCGCCGTCGTAACAACGATCCCTAAAACCCTAAACGAACACATCGTCGTCGGCCATGCAGCCCTGAAACCAAACACCAAGAAAAACATGCACCGGGGCGACAGCCCCAGCGAGCGCACGTCAGAAACCATGCCGGACGTGCGACAGAGAGAGACTCCGGAGCAGCAGTAGCGTGCGCAAGTGCATCGGAAACCGGAAGAGTGCGACGCAGAGATAGGAGGACAGGACGGACTCCAGGGGGCGCCGGCGGCGGCGGCGCGTGCGACTTACTTCTTGACCTCGTTGCACCAGACGCAGACGAGCACGACGATGACGATAGGTAGGATGATGCTGACGATGATGAGCGCGAGGATGTACGCGCGCCCGACCGCCGCGACGGGCTTCGCCTCCCGACGACCCCGACCCTGAAACGCAAGCGCGGCGAGACGAGAGATGAGACAGGGGGCGCCGCCGTCAACTCGCCGACGAGCCAGGTGGCGCTGCGATCGAGTCGCCGATGAAAAAGGTGGCGCCACAATCAGTTTTTCGACGAGACATGTGGCGCCACGATCGATGGGGTCTTTCGTTGCGACGGTGCGTCACCTGCCGTATCTGTGTGCTGTTTGACGTTTAGTGTGTCATCACGTCACAGGATCACCGCGTCACAGCGTGTCACAGCGTGTCACCGCGTCACCGTCCGTATCTGTATGCTGTTTGACCCTCAGCATGTCGTCCGTGTCACTGTGTCACCGCGCGTCACCATCTGTCCCCGCGCGTCACCGTGTCAACACACGTCACTATGCTGAATGTGCTATGATCACTATTCACCTCTATGCTGAAAACGCTGAACTCATTGTACAAAACAACAACGTCGTCCATGTCACCACGCGTCACCGTGTCAATACGCGTCACCGCGTGTCACCGTACCTGTATGCTGAAGACGCTGAATTCGTCGTACAAACAACAATGTCGTCTGTGTCACCGCGTGTCACCATCCGTCACCATCCATCACCGCGCGTCACCATCCGTCACCGCGTGTCACCATCCGTCACCGCGCGTCACCATCCGTCACCGTGTCACCGCGCGTCACCGCGCGTCACCATCCGTCACCGCGCGTCACCATCCGTCACCGTACCTGTATGCTGTAGACGCTGAATTCCTCGTACAAAACAACGACGTCGTCCGTGTCGGCTCGATCGAACAAATCCTCGACGGCGCCGACGCCGACGATGTCGCCGTCCTCGTCGACGAAGTGGACGAAGACGGATATGAGGCTCTCGCTGGCGGCTCCGCTCTCGTCGTAGTAGGTCGCGACCTCGTCGACATACGCCGTCAATCCCGTGATGTCCTCCAGCGTCCTGCGGGCGGGAGGGAGCGGGTGAGAATTAACACAACTGCTACCAGGGCCATAGCCAGAGGTAATTTTGTAGGAGGCAAATGTTGTGAGTTAAAGAACAAGGAGCGAAGCGAGCCAATAGGGCGTGGGGTATGGGGCTCGCTTAAGGGCCCCAGAAGAAATTTTGTAGGAGGCATTCGCCTCCTATTGCCTAATGGTAGCTACGGCCCTGACTGCTACTACATACTGGTAGTTGCTTGTTATTGTTATTATACCTCCGCCAAGGGGTTGGCGGGAGGTTATGTTTTCATCGGCGTGTGTTTGTTTGTTTGCTACTACCAAGTGCAGACATCTATAGCTATATAAACGACTGCTTGATATTACCCAGCCATTTCCACAGGCAGCCGAAGAAGGACAGAGTGAGATACAATCACATAACCAGCAGAGACTGCGTTGTTCATCGCCTCGCCCGCACGACTTACTTGACGAATTCGTCCCTCTTATCGTAGAACTCCGACTTGGACATCGCTAGCACAAACTCCATCTGATCGTTCTGCGACAGGATTTGGATCTGAAATGCAGAGCGTCATTTGATCAGCTGCTCTACGCATTTCTATAAAACACAAGTACGATTTTGTTTGCAGTTTTTCACAGTGACAAGTCAAACTAAAACTAAACTCATGGTTCGTACTCCAAGCAAGAAACATTTTTTCCCAGAGAAAAAACAAATTTTCCCACGACCCTTCGCAAAAAAAACCACGAGAACGGTTGCCGCCGTCGACCGTAGGTGGCGCCGGGCGCGCTCACCGTGACGTCGGCGGTGCTGCTGTGGGGTCCCTCGTCGACTGGCGGGTCGGTGACGATGACCTTGAACTTGATGTATCCGGACGAGTCGTCGCCCGGGTTGTGGGCGAGGGTGATGACGGCCGTCGCGGCGTCTATCTTGAATGGATCGCTGGAACAAGCGAGCGTGCGACGCGGGGTGAACGAATGCACGGGCGTGCGGGGGCCGATCGATGCAGAGGAGTAATATAAAGAATAAGAAGACAATTAAGAAGATAAGAAGAAAAAGAGGAGGAGGAGGAGCAGGAGGAGGAAGACAAGGAAGAAAAAGGAGAAGAGTAAAAGCAAGAAGGATAAAAAAGAGAAGAAGAATAAGAAGAGAAGCAGTAGCAGAGGAAGAAGGAGAAGAAGAAGAAGCAGAAGAAGAAGAAGAAGAAGAAGAAGAAGAAGAAGAAGAAGAAGAAGAAGAAGAAGAAGAAGAAGAAAAAGAAGCAGAAGGAGGAGAAGAATAAGAAGAGAAGAAGAGGAAAAAAAAGAAGAAACAGACAGGCGAAGGAATCGCCACGGTTTTCCGCGCCGCATTGCGGCGACTTCGCCCTGCACGTGGCGCCCTCACCTGGGCTCATCGTAGTTATGATCGAGCTCGTCGTAGTTCCACGAGTCCTTGACGATCGCGTACGTCATCACGTCGTTAGGGTAGATGTCAAGCGTCGTCGCCTGTGACAAGAGAACGTTCATGTGAATCGAGCGCGTGACGAGAGAAAGGCTTCGACACTGCCGTCGTTTGCGCCGGGATGGGGATCTTTTGCCATGCTTGTGATAAGCAGTCATGAATAATATGTTTATGGGTTAGGGTTGGGGTTGGAGGTGGCGTTGGTGTAAGGATTAGGGTTAGGGTGAGTGTTAGGGTTAAGGTTAGCATTAGGCTTATGCTTAGGCATTGGGTTACGGTTAAGATCAGGATTGAGGTTAACACTAACACCTAGGTTACAGTGAGGTTCAGGGCGGGCTAAGGTTAGGATCAGCAGTTAGAATCATGGTCACAGAGTTCCAAAACACGCGCGAGGCAAGATGTTCGCAGCCGCTGGCCGCGACACAAACAGAGTTTCAAACCCGAGACAAGACAGACGCCACACAAAATGGCCGCCGCCGCCGCTGCGACCCGACCGACCTTGATCGTGTCGAGGACGACGTCGCCGAGCTGGTTGTCGGTGGTGATGCCTGCCGTGTAGAGCGTCTGCATGAACGCGACGGGGCTGTCGTTGATGTCGCCGACGACGACGCGCACGGGCAGGTAGGCGGTGGCGTTGATGAGCGACTCGTCGTAGTCGGGCTCCTTGTCGCAGTTCGTCGCCTGCACCACGACTGTAGAGAGATGAGACGTAATGAAGAGAGAAAGGCGGGAGGAGAAAGATTAGAAAAGAGAGAGAGAGCGAGAGAGCCGAGAGTGAGGGGAAAGAGAGAAGAGTGAGAGAGAGGGTGAGGCAAGAAAGAGAAGAGAGGGCGAGGAGAGAGCATAGGGAAAGAGAGTGTGAGAGAGAGCCGATGAGCGGAGAGTGTAGGGGAAAGAAAGAGAGTGGAGAGAGAGGGCAGCGGAGAAAGGAGAGAGAGACGAGAGAGAGAAGAGCCGAAGGAAAGAGAGAGAGGAGAGAGGGGAGAGGAAAAGAGAGACGAGGGAGAGAGAGAAAGAGAGAGAGCAGAGAAAGTGAGTGCGGGTAGAGAGGGATGAGAAGGTGAGGGAGGGAGAAGAGGAGGGAGGAGCGAGAGAGGAGAGCGGAGGGAGGAGCGGAGGCGAGGAGTCGAGAGAGGAGGAGAGGCGAGGAGGCCGAGGTAGGGAGAGGAGCGGAGCGGAGGCAGGACGGAATGCGGAGGGGGAGGGAGGAGAGAGAGTGAGGAGAGAGAGGCTGAAGGAGAGAGAGGAGGGAGAGAGAGAGAGAGAGAGAAATAGAGGGAGAGAGAGAGAGAGCGAGCGAGAGAAAGAAAGAGAGCGAGAGCGAGAGAGATGGGGGATGCAGAGTTGAATATGGCAAACACACGTACGTGTTGAGCGTAAACAATAACAAAATGGAAATCGAACAGATGAGTGTTGGCTATAACCCAATAAATATACTATAACAAAGTGCGAAACCGTCGGTGTTAGCGCGGTGAGAGCCGTACGTTCGTAGCTGGCCTTCTCCTCGCGATCCAGCTCCTTGTCCTGCCACAGCTGAAACTTGTCGTCGTCCTTGTTCCCCGACACCGAGAACCGGTCGTTCTCGTCGCCATCTAGCGGCAAAAAAAACGAACTATCAGCTGGTCGCTCACAGAGTGGCTACCGCGGAATCGAAATCGAAATCGCTATCGAATCGGAATCGAAATCGTAGCTGCTTTGTGTCTATGCCGCCACGCAGAGACGCGAAATCTCGATATACGTACACAACCAGTCGAGTACAAAACCATAAAAGTCGTATTATTAATAATTAAATATTAATTGATCAATTTCATCATTTACAATTAAATCTAAGGTCAACGAACGCGTGGGCGGATCGACTTCGCGCGATGGTCGCCATGGCGACGGAGACTCACCGACGATGCAGTAGCAGATTTTGTCATCGACCTCCGGGTCATCGTAGAACGCGGCGGGAATCTCTCCCAGCTTGTACTTGAATGGCTCCTCGTGTTCCAACCTGCTGAACACCTCCTCCTCCTGGTCACGTGTCGGAGTAAGAGAGAGAAACCGCAAAGAGATGAGGGTGCGCAGGGAAATGGGCGTGCAGCGTCGTGTTGTAGGGTTGGCACGACGAAACGTCGGTGTCAATTTCCTCCGGGCGTAGAGGGAGGGTGCCGCTACGTGGCAGCACTAATGTTAGCGTTAGTGTTAGGGTTAGGGTTAGTGTTAGGGTTAGGGTTAGGGTCAGGGTCAGGGTCAGGGTTAGGGTTAGGGTCAGGGTCAAGGTCAGGGTCAGGGTTAGGGAAATAAGGCCATATGTCTAGCATGGAAGTATGACTGTGGAATGACGGAAGTGTACGAAGTGACTAGTGCTGCCACGTAGCGGCACCCTCCCTCTACGCCCGGGGAAAGTGACTAGTGCTGCCACGTAGCGGCACCCTCCCTCTACGCCCGAGGGAAAGTGACACCCACGAAACGTTAACTTTCATTTGCCGCGATCCCTTTTAGAATCGTTAGGTAAGCCATTGTGTCATATCATGTTACATCATTGTGTTGTATCATGTTGCATCGTTGTGTTGTATCATGTTGCATCGTTGTGTTGTATCACGTAGATATGATGCGTTGCATCGTGTTGTGCTGTGTTGTGTCGTGACATGGCGACTTGTTTGTGTGTCGTGTACATGCTGTAGTGCACGCATATTATGTTGTGTCATGTTGTGTTGTATCGTGTCATGTTGCGTTGTATCGTGTCATGTTGCGTTGTATCGTGTCATGTTGTGTTGTATCGTGTCATGTTGTGTTGTGTTGTGTCATGTTGCGTTGTATCGTGTCATGTTGCGTTGTAT